CCCTGTCTATAACTCTACCTGTCAAAATAATTTTTTAAAATATTTTTAAAAGTCCATTAGTATCCTCATTTTTAAAAAAGAAGAATGTTTGTGCAACTCAGTAGTTGTCTCTTGATTTAAGGCAACATGAACAGAGACAATGCAGACTTGGTTGTGACTTGAATTTTGGATTATTCTCTGAGAAGTCTGCTGTTGAAGAGCAGGGAGATTTGCTAGAGATGAGGGCACGCGTGGAAGTCTGCGTCAGGGAGGCAGAACAGTCGAATTGAGACACAGAGATGATGACCATAGAAGAAGGTACGAGTCAGACCAGAGCTCTGCCTATGCGGTCCTGGATTAAGTCTCTTAACCATCCTGGGCCTCCTGGCCTCATCTGTCGAGTGAGAAAGATTCTTTGACTTAGTGTGCACTTGAACTTCTGGAAAGCAACCTCCTAAACCGATTTGCAGGAAGGTCTTACCAGCTTCGTATATAAGCTCTCCCCAGGATTTTTGCACTTTCTCAGTTTGGAATATGGAGTGCAGTGAAGGGAAAGTGTTAGGCTCCAGAAAACCCATCAGGCAGGTGTTGGGCTTCATTATGCTTGTTGGCAGGGTTGCTGATATGGCTCTGGTGACCTGGTGCTAATGCTTTCCTAATTTCCACAGGTTGGGATGTCGCAGACAATTTATATCTTAGCCAAGATAAGTGAGAACTGGAAGCAGGGGTAGGAAAAGACATACAGTAAATTGCTCAGACGTCATTCAGCATTTCTTTACCACTGACGGGGAGCTAAACAGCCTAGTCACGATTCTTGGGAAAATATGTACATTTTCAACTCACCAAGAGAAAGCTTGAAACTTGAAAGAACTTCTACTAAGCCACTATTCAAAGCTAGTAAAATTTCTCCTCTGAGCTGTGTCAACTAGCTTCTCCTGCTCCTTAAAGTTAGAACCACGAATTTAGTATGTGTCTGTGTGGTTAATTTTTTTAAAAAGATTTATTTATTTATTTGAAAGGCAGAGTTACACAGAGAGAGAAGGAGAGGCAGACAGAGAGAGAGGTCTTCCATCCACTGGTTCACTCCCCAATTGGCCACAATGGCCAGAGCTGCACTGATCCGAAGCCAGGAGCCAGGAGCTTCCTCCAGGTCTTCCCATACAGGTACAGGGGACCAAGGCCTTGGGCCATCTTCCACTGCTTTCCCAGGCCATAGCAGAGAGCTGGATCGGAAGTGGAGCAGCCAGGACTTGAATCGACACCCATGTGGGATGCCGGCTTTACCTGCCACACCACAGCACTGCCCCATGTTTTGATTAATTTTGACTTCCCAGATGAAGCATCTCCCTCTCATTTATAACAAAAAGGTTTACATTAGAGTTACCCATTTTCTCAAGTTTGCAACTCATCTCTACTAAACCTTTGTTTTCCTCATTCTGATGAGTTTCTGTCGCATGTCAAGTTATTTAAAATAATTGAAATCATTATTATTAGCACGTAGTTAAGGTTTCCAATATCCTAAATTGAAAAATGCAGTTAACAGTTTTTACACCTTGTTTCTAAATTCCCTCTTGTGGTTCAAAACTGACATTTTTTTTAAGATTTTAATTATTTATTTGAAAGGCAGAATTATATATATGTAGAGAGAGATCTTCCATTTGGTGGTTTACCTAAAATGGCCAGAGCAGCCAGGGCTGGGCCAGGCTGAAGCCAGGAGCCAGGAGCTTCATCTTGGTCTCCTTGTGTGGGTGACGAGGGCTCAAATATTTGGGCCATCTTCTGCTGCTTTTCCAAGTGCATTAGCAGGGAGCCACATCCTAAGTGGAGCAGCCAGGACTCAAACTGGTGTTGCAGGTGGGGCTTTATTTGCTATGTCACAACCCCAGCCCCATCGCTTATTAATTTGCAGATCTTCTATATAATAGGGAAATTAGACATTGCCTATGATATTGATTGCAAAGTTCTTTTAACTTTGCTTTTAAATTTTTTGCCACATGGAAGTTATGTAGTTTAATTTATTTTAATTTTTTGTTTCTTGTTTTATGTCATCATTAGAGAGCCTAAGATTATATTTTAGAAATCTCATGGGTTCTGCTAGTGCTTTTATAACTATTTATTTTGTTACATTCACAGCTTTGATTCGTTTGGAATTTACCCTGGTAGATAGAGTGAAGAATAGCCGGCACCGCGGCTCACTAGGCTAATCCTCCACCTTGCGGCGCTGGCACCCCGGGTTCTAGTCCCAGTCGGGGCACCGGATTCTGTCCTGGTTGCCCCTCTTCCAGGCCAGCTCTCTGCTGTGGCCAGGGAAGTGCAGTGGAGGATGGCCCAAGTGCTTGAGCCCTGCACCCCATGGGAGACCAGGAGAAGCACCTGGCTCCTGCCATCGGATCAGCGCGGTGCGCCAGCTGCAGCACGCCAGCCACGGCGGCCATTGGAGGGTGAACCAACAGTAAAGGAAGACCTTTCTCTGTCTCTCTCACACTGTCCACTCTGCCTGTAAAAAAATAAAAAAAAAGATAGAGTGAAGAATAAATTCAACTTTGTTTTCTAGTTGGGAAGAAGAATGGTGAATATTATCTAATGGTTTCAAATTCGAATGTCTCTTCCTAATAGACAAGCTTCCTTAGAATGTATAGAGGTTATTATTTTCTTTCTTTCTTTTTAAAATTTTTTTAATTGGGGCCAGTGCTGTGGTGTAGTGGGTAAAGTCATTGCCTGCAGTGCCAGCATCCCATAATGGGTGCTGGTTGGAGTCCTGGCTGCTCCTCTTCTGATCCAGCTCTCTGCTATGACCTGGGTAAGCAGTAGAAGCAGCCCAAGTCCTTGGGCCCCTGCACTCCCATGGGAGACCCAGAAGAAGCTCCTGGCTCCTGATTTCAGATAGGCACAGCTCTGGCCATTGCAGCCATTTGGGGAGTGAACCAGCGGATGGAAGACCTCTTTCTCTCTGCCTCTCCTCTCTCTGTGTAACTCTGAATTTCAAATAAATAAATCTTTTTTTTTTTTAAGTAGAGTGTCAGAGAGATGAGAGAATGAGCTGTTTTACTCCCCAAGTGGTCACAACAGCTAGGGCTGGGTAAGGCAGAATCCAGAAGCCTGGAAACCTTGGGTATCCCATGTAGGTGTCAGGGGCACCAGCTGCTTTGGCCATGTTCTGCTGCCTTCCCAGGTGCATTAGCAGGAAGTTGGATCAGAAGTGGAGCAGCCGGGAAGGACTCAAGCCAGTGCCCGTATGGGATGCCGGCTTCATAGGTGGTGGCTTAACCTGCTGCACCACAACACTGACCCCATATAGCCTATTTTTGAAAGATGTAGTCTACAGGGTGAAAACCAAACATTTTCTGTAAGTGTATGTTTTAGCTTTTGTATTTTACTAATATTGACTTTTCAAAAGATTTATTTTGTTTATTTGAAAGGCAGAATGACAGAGAGAGAGAGAGAGAGAGAGAGAGAGAGAGAGAGAGAGAGGAGTATTTTACTTTTAAGGGCCACATTTAACCGTGCTTGCTAAACAAGAATATTGATAGAAATGAGATTAGGAAATAAATACAGAAATATCACGCTTATCCGACAGTCAGACTTTTGCCAGCTACAACTATCTGGAACATATTCAAGAACCCCAGAAGGAATCCAAAAAGGCCTCTGCCGTTGGGAGAAAATAGCTCTCACAAAGGCTGTGTACTTGATGTGGGAGGGGAGGCACAGTGCCACTTGCATGCCAAAGCCCACTTACTGACTTTGAATTTCTAGAGAAAACTCCAAGGATTGTTTAGCAAGTGTGAGTATTCAGTTTCCTTTCAAGACATTTTAGCTTGTCTTGGGTTTTGATAGAAAAAAGATGAAAATGAACTGTCCCACCCATGCTGCCAAAAAGACAGTAAATAAAGCACTCCTGACATGTTTTCTCCCACACATCATGGAAACTTACTTTAATTTAATTCTGATTGGTTCACATACAATCAGCTATGATAAAACTTACTCTCCTTTTTAAAAATGTGAGGTTTAAAACAAGTAATATACCTGTTATCTCTCTTCTTTGAAAGGGGATGAAGAATTTGAGACATCTTTATTCAAGTATTTGTTTTTGTTGTTGTTTAAATATTTATTTTATTTATTTGAAAGACAGGGTTGCAGAGAGAGGTAAAGACAGAGAGGGAGGTCTTCCATCCGCCAGTTCACTCCCCAAATGGCTGCAATGGCCAGAGCTGCACCGATCCGAAACCAAGAGCCAGGAGCTTCCTCCGCGTCTCCCATGTGGGTGCAGAGGCCCAGGGACTTGGGCCATCTTCTACTGCTTTCCCAGGCCATAGCAGAGAGCTGGATTGGTAAAAGCTGTATAAGTGAGATGAAAAGTTAAAAGGCATGTTTAAAAGGTTTAAAGACCAGGGGGCTGGTGTTGTGGCAGAGCTGTTAAAGCCACGGCCTGCAGTGCCAGCATCCCATATGGGTGTGGGTTCAAGTCCCAGCTGCTCCATTTCCAATCCAACTACCTACTAATGTACCTGGGAGAGCTGCAGAGGATGGCCCAAGTCTCTCTGTAACGCTACCTTTCAAATAAAGAAAAGGGTTGAAGACATATTTTTTAAAAAAGATTTATTTATTTGAAAAGCAGTGTTATAGAGAGGCAGAGAGAGAGAGAGAGAGGGAGAGAGAGAGGTCTTCCATCAGATGGTTAACTCCCCAGATGGCCGCAGTGGCTGGAGCTGTGTCAATCCGAAGCCAGGAGCCAGGAGCTTCCTCCAGGTCTCCCACGTGGGTGCAGGGGCCCAAGGATTTGAGCCATCTTCTGCTACTTTCCCAGGCCATAGCAGAGAGCTGGTTTGGAATTGGAGCAGCCGGGACTCGAACCGGTGCCCACATGGGATGCCGGCACTGCAGGCGGTGGCTTTACCCACTATGCCACAGTGCCAGCCCCGAAGACCTATTTTGATGTATGACAAGCATGCTGTTTGTGGAGGGACTGTGGGTTAATGAAAATCAGTTCAGTTTTATTTTTTTTTCTCTCCTTCTATTTCTAGATTGCCAAAATGCTTTGGAGTTTTTAACTGAATCTCAGAGAAGTCCAAAATAAACTTGAGACTGTAAAAACAGAAGCTGCAGCAAGGGGGATTCAGTGCCAATGCATCAACAAAAAAGACAACCAGAGTTAGTGGAAGGGAATCTTCCTGTTTTTGTGTTTCCCACGGAGCTCATATTTTATGCTGATGATCAGTCAACACATAAGCAAGTGTTGACTCTATACAATCCCTATGAGTTTGCCTTAAAGTTCAAAGGTGAGTCTCGTAGGGTTAGTTTATGAATTTGTAACTAAGTCCCTACTAATTTTTTACTTGTAGAAACTAATTTTAAAAAAATACTAATGGCCATTGTGACTTTTTCTTGCAGTTTTGTGTACTACTCCAAATAAGTATGTTGTCGTTGATGCTGCAGGTGCAGTAAAGCCTCAGTGTTGTGTGGATATGTAAGTCAAAATCGCTTCTTGGTAACACATTTTAAGTGTATTAATCTGTATGTTTTTAACTTGAAAGAGGTCTTTTCTTGAAGTTGTTCCCACAAGGGCATTTATTGTATTTGGAATTTTCGCTGAAAGTTTGAGTCTATTAAAATTCTTTTTAAGAAGTCTAAGTCAACACAAGTTGACCCAATATTTAATATTTCATTGTGGTTGGAGCTAATGGTGTGTTAATGTTTCCACGAACATTTCCCCATTGTGGTTTTAGTCACAGCAGGGATGCTCTAATAGGGAATTAAGCTTTCTTTGGGACATCCTGCCATTATAGTGACATTTGGGAAATTAATAATACTAAAGGCTAAGAACAATGGTAATATAGGTTCATCTGAAATGATTCAGCTCAAAACCGTGGAAGTTAATCTATATAAACAGGAAGCAAGTGTGTAACTACTCATCTGTAAAAGGTTATCCGAGCCCTTCCAGGTAATTTCGTCTTAGAGTGTCAGATAAATGATTGTTTGTTCAAGCTGTTCATATTTAATTTTCACTTTAGAACTAGTGGTGACCAGATGGATCCACTGACCGCCCTTCAGCTACTGAGTAAACTGTATTTGTTTAAATCTTCTGCAAGAAAGAGAAACAGAATTCTTTCCTTGTGAATATATTTTCATCATTCCAAAGCAATAAGATGATGTATCTTTGAGAATGTGTTTTTGCACATTTCTTTTGATTTTCATTCAGTACATAATAAGCAAGGACCATTCCAAAGAAATATAGACTCTTACCAAATAAATGTGTTACCTCTGGCCTAATTGTTTTGTGCTCCCTAGTAAGAATGAACTACGATAAATGGATTTGCGGAAAACTCATAAAATTTCCAGTGCTTTATACTCTCTTCTCTTTAGAGAAACAGAGGTGTATTGTTAACCTTCTTGTGAATTGGTCATACCGGATTGCTTACTTATTTAATTGCTTACTTTTATTTGTGTGCATGGAGTTGTAATTTAAGTTTAGAGTGAGCTTTGTTACTTCAACAATAAGTAAGTGTCAGTAAAATTTTATGAAATGCTTGTGGGGGATAAATGGTCTCATATTAGTAAATATTGCTACACACAGATATCCAGAAAAAAGGTCATTGCTAAAGGGAATCTACTTTATCTATTTTTTTTTCTTTTTTACATAAGATTTATTCTACATTTGAGAGCGTGCTTTCATCAACTATTTCAGAATTACCCATTTCTTTTGGGGTTATGCTACGATTGTTTTAGCATCTTAGCAAATGTTTGTTGTTGAGTGTGTGGTTACAGTTAGCGAATATTGTTCTGCTGTATTGAAATCTCTTGCTGCATTCTGTTGGAAAGGCCCGCAGAAACCTAAACAGCACTTGTTTTTCTTTGCTGCTTTCAGTGTGATCCGTCACAGAGATGTTCGATCCTGTCACTATGGTGTGATAGACAAGTTCCGCCTCCAAGTTTCTGAGCAAAGCCAGAGGAAGGCTTTAGGAAGGAAAGAGGTTGTTGCTACTCTCCTGCCATCCGCAAAAGAACAACAAAAGGAAGAAGAGGAAAAAAGAATAAAGGAGCATTTAACTGAAAGTTTATTTTTTGAGCAGTCATTTCAACCAGGTAGTTTTGGCTTGGTTTTGAAGCCTTTTCGATGTCTTATACATTTTTAGCTTTAAGTAAACAGGGAGCTGTGGCTAATTTCTAGGCAAATGATTTGACGATGGAAAAACCTAGTCAACTACTTCAAAACTGGACCCACAGAATCAGGGACCTGCAGCAGAACAAGACTCTCAGAGGACAGAATACCCCTCACTGGACTAGACTATGAGGAGAGGGAGAATGTTGCCATAGCCTTTCAAATTCAAATATATATAAAATCTGAGACTGCAGGTCCCACACTTAATGATGCTAGGACAATTTGGCAATTGTATACTTTTGTTTCTATGACTTTCCTATATCCTTTCTCATTTAATTAGTTCAAAGGAGAAGAGAGATTGTGTTTGGCAACAGGCCAAGCTTAGTGCACTGTTCATATTATTTTGAAGAAAAAATCTCATTAAAGTTGAAGTTAATTAAACTAAGTAGATTATAATATCCCCTGTGGGCTATTAATTGAATCCCTCTCTATTCCTCATTTCCTTCCAGCTTAGATATTCAGAAGTGTTATGATATATTCTTTCAACATTGACACTATCCTCATATTCACCTCTTTGGACGTCATTCTGCCTCCCTCTTAACTTCTCATTATCGCCTACCAAACCTATTATAAAAGGAGGATGATAAAATTTTCCATAGAAAAACAGGAAACTTTTTGATGGTGATATATAAATGTGATAACAGCTGGCCTTAACTGCAACAGTAAACTTGTATAGTCGTATAAGGGATTTTTTTTTTATAAATCTATTTGTCATTACATGAACTCATAGATCCATATCCGTTTGTTCATCCTAGGATGTTTAGTTCAATAAGACAGAGAGTAGTGCCTCTTTGACTAACTGAAGCCAAGTGTCTTCTTACTTCATGTAGGAAGTGTCCAGATTTCCTACTGGTACTCAGGGTTAAGGTTTAGGGGTGTGGGTGTGTACCTATGTGTATATGGAGAATTTTATTCCTTTAGGTTTTGAATTTATTAGAGTTCAAGTGAAAGTCATCGCAATCCTAAACAATTACATGTACTGTTTTAGTCTTATTTTTATGAAGAACCTTGGAATCAAAAGTGCATTAGAGAATTCTGACTGTGAAATTAGAGTAGGTCGATGAATGAGGATCGGTGGCACTGGCATAACATGCAGTGGTCTCTGTTTTTGTGGGAAAATGTCTCTTAAGCCTTTCACATCAGAAAGTTCAGTTAAGGCAGGCAAGCAGGCACCTTGTTGGTCTTGTTCACCATTATGTCCTCAGCACCACCTGGCACAGCAGCTGGCACGGTTGTAGTCACACAGGAAATGTGTAAATGAGCTAAGTTCAGAAGGCTGTACTTCACATCTGGCAAAGGCCCATGGGGTTGGTCTTTTTTGGCTCTCAAGGCTTCCCTGGCGATTGCCACAGTAGAGGAAGGATGGTGACTTCAGAGTGGAGTCCTGTTCACTGTCCTGGTCTACGTCTCCCATTGATAGGTAGTTACCTTAGTGTGTCTGATAATCTGGCAGTAAGTTGAGTCAGGTTTCCCTCTTTAATAGGCTATAAACTGATTTGGTCTAGGTTGACAAAGTGATATTTTTAACTTCTCCCATCTGTTAAATTGACAGTAATTTGTATGTGGCTTTCTGGTATGCAGAATTCCCAGGTTTTTCGTTATGTGTCTCTGAACTAAAATGTTGAAATCAGTTGAGAATGCGTTCTGGAAAGATTTTTAATGTTCTTTTTGCAGGTCTTTAGCTTAGAAAACATTTCAACAAAAGCATATTATTAGAAGTATTAGAAATACAGCAGTGTTGTGAGATTTCATTATTAGCTAGAAAATGGTTGAAGACTACATCATGGAAAATTTGCATTTGAAAATGTATTGAAATCGGTAAAAATGAGAAATTCTTTCTTAACTTTATTGTATAAAACACACAGCAGTAACAAGTTTTAAAAAGAAAAAGCCTTTATAATGCCACACATTTAACAAATTTGCTTATACTCATGTAAGTGGTCCCCGTTACTTTCCAGATCTTGCCTGTGTGCATAAATACAATTTATATCTTGTGAATGTTTTCATTTAGCAGAAATGCTAACTGTTGAATTAGGAGAAACTCACAAAGTATACTTTCACAAAATGGCAAGCCCAGGTTATTAAAAAGGTTTTAAAAGATACTGCTGGCCGGCGCCACAGCTCAATAGGCTAATCCTCCGCCTACGGCGCCGGCACACTGGGTTCTAGTCCCGGTCGGGGCACCAGATTCTGTCCCGGTTGCCCCTCTTCCAGGCCAGCTCTCTGCTGTGGCCCTGGAGTGCAGTGGAGGATGGTCCAAGTCCTTGGGCCCTGCACCCCATGGGAGACCAGGAGAAGCACCTGGCTCCTGCCATCGGATCAGCGCGGTGCGCTGGTGCAGTGCGCCGGCCGTGGCGGCCATTGGAGGGTGAATCAACGGCAAAAAGGAAGACCTTTCTCTCTGTTTCTCTCTCTCACTGTCCACTCTGCCTGTCAAAAAAAAAAAAAAAAGATACTGCTGAATCTGTTGGGTTTGTCTTAATTACGTTATTAATGAACTGCTGTGTCTATGCTATGTTTGCCTCTGTACCCTCTGGCTTAAGAAAATTACATTCTTTATTATTGTTTATAATAAAAAATTGAAAATGACCTATCAGCACATCAATTGGGAATTTATTAAATTATGAATATTCATAAGATGGGATGCCAGGCAAGCATTTACAGGAATCTGATAGAATAATAGATGTTTATATATTGACATAGGAAGAGTTTCAAATAGATTTCTAAGTGAGGGAAAAAAACAGTTATATAACAGTATGTATAATGTAGTTTCATTTATGTAGAAATTATTCTTTTACATGTTTATTAAGTCTGAAAGGCTGTATATCAAGTTGTTAACAGTGTTAGCTGTAAGAAGATGAGATTATAGGGGAAGCTTTTTTTTATATCTTTATAACATTTTTGACAATCAGGTGGCAGGAACAAAAGATATTTCCATTTTGAAAAAATTCAAGTACTTTTGCAAATGTTTTTAGAATTTCTCTAAATATTAAAAATTCTGGCCAGCACCGCGGCTCACTTGGCTAATCCTTCACCTGTGGCGCTAGCACCCGGGGTTCTAGTCCCAGTCGGGACACCAAATTCTGTCCCGGTTGCTCCTCTTCCAGTCCAGCTCTCTGCTGTGGCCCGGGAAGGCAATGGAGGATGGCCCAAGTGCTTGGGCCCTGCACCCCATGGGAGACCAGGAGGAAGCACCTGGCTCCTGGCTTCAATTGTCGCAGCGCTAGCCGTAGCGGCCATTTGGGGAGTGAACCAACAGAAGGAAGACCTTTCTCTCTCTCTCTCTCTCTCTCTCTCTCTCTCTCACTGTCTAACTCTGCCTGTCAAAAATAAATAAACAAATAAAAATTCTTTGAAATTTATTGAGGGCTTACCCTGAGCAGTGTAGTTGTCATAAAGAAATGTTTTCCCTGAAAATTTATCCGTGTAACACATATAGTTATATTACTTATTAACTAAAATAAGACCTTTTTTTTTGTATTTATGCTATGGTTTCATCCCAAGCAAGAATCACTATTAAATTTGAATTTGTTTTCTAGCTTTGGTGAGGTTCAATCAAACGTCACACAACAGCTAGAGTATTAATAATTTAGGAAAACTCATTTAATAATAAAATGAACAGTTATTTCATTAATAAAACACAAAGATCGTGTTGCTCTTGGCTATTCCTTTTAATGAAAGGAAAGACAGTGGGGAAAGCCACATAACACAATGCTGTTGGGTTTCTTAGGAATACGAGTATGTGTGAAAGTCATCAAAAAGTTCATGGAGCATGCATATTATGAAAAAACTATTCATGAACTTCAACATTTTTGCACTAACATAAGCTTGCCTTTTAATTTAATTGTCCCCAAAGCTTTTAAAGTCCTCTCACATATAGCCAAAACTGTAGAACATCAGATCCAATAGGAAATTTTTTTAAATTGTGTTTTATCTTAAGAAAACTTAACGTGAGATCTACCATCTTAACTATTTTTAGTGTACCATACAGTATTGTTAACTATGGGGACAGTGTTGCTGAGCAGATGTCTGAAACTTATTCATCTTGCGTAATGGAGACTTATGCTTATTGATTAGCAATTTGCATTATCCTCTTCCCCCAGTCTCTGGCAAACCACCATTCTGCTCTCTGATTCTATGAGTTTGACTACTTGAAATTTCTCATCTAATTGGAATAATTTAGTATTTGGCCTTCTGTGACTGGCTTATTTCACTTAGCATAATATTTGCCAGATACTATTTCTGCAGCTTTCTCCTTTGCTGTTAATGGGGTAGAGCAGAGGGCAAGAACTTTCACAGGCAGATTGATAATATTCAGGGAGTGTCTTTGTGGTACCTTAGCATTATCAAAGGGTTCAGATGGAGTGCAGGTGCTGCTCGACTTAGCACAAGAGGTGCCTCCTGCTAAACCCATTGTGGAAAGAAAATATTAAGTCAAGAAGGGAGTACATGCACCTGTCCGACCAAACATCATAGGAAGGAGTAGGAGAAGTTAGCCCAAACCAGAGTCTTGGCGAATGGCAGCTGATATATGTGACGAAAGTTTTGTCTTGTTTTTAGAAGCAAGCTCAGAGATGTTTTGTCTTTTTACAGAAAACAAAAGTGTCTCCTCAGGACCTAGTTTACTAACTGTTTTCCTGGGAGTGGTGTGCATTGCAGCTCTGATGCTACCTACGCTGGGGGATGTGGAATCGCTGGTGCCTCTCTACCTCCACTTAAGTGTGAATCAAAAATTAGTGGCTGCTTATATCTTAGGTAAGGCTTTTAAAGATGCCTTTGGACTGTAATATCAATTAAAAATATGTTATCTCAAAAACGAAAGCGAGGGAGCGGGAGGGAAGAAGGGAATAGTGTTGTATCTGTGAATTAAATTGAGTCTGTTAAAAACTAAAACTAAATAAAAAATACAGATGCACTTGGCATACATGTAGCGTTTCATATGTATACAGCTGGTGGTGTTTCGATTTTTTTTCTTTTAAAAAGTGATGAGGATTATTTTAAAAGCATTCCTGAGGTTAGGTACATTTGAAAATGTAACTTTTGACTCACCTTGAATTCTTTTCAGCTTGTTTATCTAGTACCTAAAATTGCATTGATCCACTTAGTTTCCTTTTGGCTGACTTAACAATGGCCTAAAACATGTATAAAATGTAAAATGAGCACATCCCATGACACTAGGGAAACACTCTGACAAAATGCATACAGTGATACGGATGATAAATTTAATATTACGATCCTTCCTCTTTAAACCAGTTCCCTCATTTGCTGTGCTGCTCACTCACTCTTTCAGTCATCTGGCTTGAAAAACGCAACAGCTAAATTATCTCGGTTGAACATTTATTCAATTCAAGCTCCCATGTGCCAAGAACAGAGTTCTGGTGACGAACAACTCTTTGCTCATATTCTCTTCGCACGCCTACCCAGATGCCACCTCTTTTTCAGTATTCTCAGCATTCCCTCTCTCGTTTGTAGTTGAACGTTGTCTTCTTCTTTCTGGGGGGGAGGGGCGGTTATTTATGGAGTCTCTTCCAGAGACTAGCAAACCAGCAGCACTATGCTTCTGCCTGGGATACAAAAAGGCTCTCATTGTTTCTGTTGATGAAGTCTGCTGGATTTACTGACACTTTAAAATGGCATGCCTGCTATTATTATAGCTGATGTGACTGAATAAAGTCGGAGGTATGTTTGATGGTTAAACTAGCTATGGCCAGACATTAGTGATTTTATTAAATCTATCCAGCGACTGCCCATTGCTGTCAATTGGACTCCTTCTGTATAATATCAACTAAATTCAAATTGACTTTGAGTTCTTGGTAGAATGCCTGCCTATCTGTTCTATTTTATGTGCTCATTGAGGTCCACAATCTCTTACTGAATGAAAGATTCAGTAAAACGCATGTCTTTAACCATTCTCCATTTTTTTCTTTCAGGTCTTATTACAATGGCTATACTTAGAACATGAGCAAGGATTTCAATTGACTTCCGAAGTAAATTTATCTTGAAAATATGAATGTGGACTGCCTTTTATCTCTGTTTCACTCCATTAACATGCTATAAACTATTGAATTATTTCAAATAATAGCAAATGTATAATATATATTTTAAACTGCTCTATAATTTTATTTGAAGGACTCCAGCACATTATGTTACAGACAGCAATGATGCTTCTGAGTGATATCTAGAAAATTATTGGGAGAAATTCTGTTTATATCTATACTTATTGTGCAAAAGACTTTAACACATTTGTTATTTTCCCTTTTCCCGATTCACTTTCATTGTAAAGGGTCATGTGTCCTTCAAAGTTAAAAGCCTAGAAAAGCAAATTGACCAGCCTAAAAATAGAATCCACATGTATTTCCTAGCTTCAAAGACCGCCATTACTATGTAAATTATGCCATGCCCTCTTATCATTGTGTACAGTTGTCATGGTGTTTCTAAAATACAAGTTTTACAGTTACTGTGTGGGGGGTAAAAGTAAGAAGTGTAAGGTACCAGGGGAGCATGCTGATCCTGGGGTCTCACAGAAGACAGGGCATATTCCATTCATCTTGTGAACTACAGAATGGCTTGTGGTCCAGATACCAAGCATATGGCTTGTTTTATGTCTTTTGTTTTTGTTTGTTTGTTGTTGTTGTTGTTAAACCTAATAGCAGTAGAGTGACCTCTCTATTTGTCTGAGTTTTAGAGCAAGACAGGCATTTGTTTACTTATTTGGCCCACCCTTGGCTTTTCCTGTAGTTAACGCTTTGTGGCGTTTCTCCCCCAGCCCCTTGCCTGCCTGATGTAAGTGACATGCCCAGACTGGGATTATCAACTAGCAGGTGGTTTATGTGGAGATGACTCTTCATCCTTAAACTCTAAGCCAAGTATAGGAAATCTTTGGTACCTGTGTCTATTTAATAGCAGTCACTGAGACATTTTTTAAGTTTTTATTTATTTTTTAAAAAACTTTACCAAAAAAAAATCCCCTAAGCACAACTATTTCCATTTCTTTATAACCTCTTCTGATCTCTGACATATATATATAAATATATATATGCAGTTTTAACTGTTATTATCATAGTAAATGATGTTGTTTCTTAGGATTTTTATCTGAAAGCACAATGCATTAAAGAGTCTCTTGACAATTCTCTTTCAGATCTTTTTACAGAATGAATTTATGCACTGCTACTGTAGCATTCTCAAGGAATGTACATGAACACAAGTGTATGCTGGAGGGTGATTTTAGCAGGAAACAGTACTCTGCTTCTAAAAGCTTTGATGTCTAGTCTTTCATAGAAAATTCTCATTGTTTAACCATTTGGGGAGCCTGAATTGTTAAATGCATTATGTCTGTACATTGTGTAATGACTGAAAAGCACATAAATGTTAATCTACTTTGAACTTTGTAAAAAAAAAAAACCTTATGTTTGGAGGCTGTCCTTGTTTATCCATCTCAAATCCTCTGTGTGTGCGTGCCCACACAGGTGCACGCATGTGTATGTACGTGTGTGATAACACATTGTAAAGAACAGAGATTACTTTAAAAAAAATAAAAGAAAATGGAGACCTAAGTTTTGCATTGATGTAAGTATTTCTTGGGAGGGGGGTTACCAAAGTTGCTTCATACTTTTGTGAGTTAAATTAAAAAAATAGGAATGGTAAAATATGTGAGCATTTAGAAATGTCTCCAGTTCAACTTAGCCAAGGGAGTTAATTCATGTTTAATTTAACTTTTTGAACAGTTAATAGGCACATGCTTCTAAGAAGATACACAGTGACAAGGCAGCCCTCCCCAGTCCCTTAAAAAGTGATCGCTTTTATTAGCTGATGTGTATTTCTAGTGTTATGCATAAACATCATGTTGTCTTTCAAAATGTCTTCTGAGTAGTCCAAGACCTGGGATGGGACCGAGCTGGCCCTGGGAGGGTCACTTTGATTCACGTTGAGAGGAGTGGGTTCACAAGGAAAGGTAAGGATGAGTGTGCCACGCGATGAGGAGGGTTCTTTTAGAAGAGTATACAGGGAGATATTTGACACTGTGATGTGTGCGCTATTAATTTCTTGCCAACCCCGAAGAAGACTTTATTGCCATGATTCAAGGGGATGAACGTAGGCTAATGAGGAAAGAAGGAAGCTAGTCCAGGGGCTGTGGGTATTATAGTTTAATCAGGGAAGAGGTAAAGAAGTGGTTGTCACTGTGAAAACAAGTGTGATTCATGCTGAAAGCAGCCAGCAAACAGGAAGCGCACAGCAAGAGACACGGCAATCATTGTAATTATCTGTCACCGCAGGTGTTTCTGCCACCTCCAAATCGTTAGGCCAGCACAATTCTGCCACCTGAGTTCACTTCCAAAGAAGTCGTATAAAGTCATCATGTTAAGTTTTAGGTTTCTAGAAGGGATTCGGGCAACAAATGAAACGACTCCTAGATATTTTCATTTGCCAAGCCATTAAGTAGAGAGACTATATAGCAGCTGCCTGTGGAGATGCCTACAGGGTTTCCACATGCACACGGAAGTAGATGTTAAGGTTTCAAAACTTTGCTATTATGAAAGAGTTTGACGATTTCAAGTGGCATCTAAAGCCTTGACATTTACAGGGTACATGCCCGCAAGGAACAATTTAGACCTAAAGGAAGTTGGGGGCGAAACTGGGACCCTGTGACTTCATTAGATGATTCAAATAGAGGAGCCCAGCAGAGCTTCCCTGTAGTATCTCAGCAGCAGAATGTCAAGTTAGTGATTATTTCATTAGGAAAATATTTGCTACACCTATAATCTGGAAGTGATAAACAACATACCAGAGCAGAACATTAGGCTCCAGGATTAAATACCGAACAGAATAACAAAGAGTTGACCCAGCTACCAGGCATCAGCATGAGGCCTTGTTCAGTGACCACATCAAAGACCCTTTAAGTAAGCCACAGGCAGGAAAAGGAGGAATAAATTAGGATACAGGTTTAGAGAGGCTTCATACAACGAAGAGAACAAAAGTGCAAGTGGACTAAACCCGAGCTGGCTGTTTCGTTTGGGTACATTTTGCTGTTTTCCGATTTGCCTGAAACACGGGTAATCAGAAAATGTTCATGCAATTAAACTGACACCTGCTCTAGGCTATGACATCTTCAGTGCCTAATAAGAAATGGGCCCAGGGGTAGGCACTGTGGTGCAATGGGTTAAGCCATAGCTTGTGACATCCACATCCCAAATCAGAGTGCCAGTTCAAATCCCAATACTCTTCTGATCCAGCTCCCTGCTAATGCATCTGGAAAAGCAGCTGAAGATGGCAAGTACTTGGGCTCCTGCCACTCATATGGGAGACCAGAATGGAGTTACTGGCTCCTGGCTTGATCCTGGCCCAGCCCCAGCTGTTGTGGGCATTTGGGGAGTTACAGAGTTACAGAAAGAGAGGGAGAGACAAAGAGAGAGATCTTCCATCAGCTGGTTCACTCCCCCAAATGACTGCAATGGCTGGAGCTGGGCCAGGCTGAAGCCAGGAGCCAGGAGATTTTCCAGAACTCTCATAAGGGTAGCAGGGGCCCAAGCACTTGGATCATCTTCTGCTGCTTTCCCCAGGCCATTAGCAGAGAGCTGGATTGGAAGTGGAGCAGCTGGGACTCCAACCAGCACCGATACGAGATGCTGGTGCTGCAGGCAGTGGCTTTACCCACTATGTCAGAATGCCAGACCCTGGTTTGATTTCTTAACTCAAAAATTTATGGGGCCGGCACTGTGGCGTAGCAGGTAAAGCCACCACCTGCAGTGCCAGCATCCCATATGGGCGCCAGTTCAAGTCCTGACTGCCCCACTTCCAATCTAGCTCTCTGCTATGGCCTGGGAAAGCAGTAGAAGATGGCCCAAGTCCTTGGGCCCCGGAACCCACATGAGAGACCTGGAAGAAGCTCCTGGCTCCTAGCTAGCTTTGGATCAGCCCAGCTCTGGCCATTGCAGCCATTTGGGGAGTTAACCAGCAGATGGAAGACTTCTGTCTCTCTGCCTCTGCCTCTCTGTAACTCTGCCTTTCAAATAAATAAATAAATCTTTAAAAAAATTATTACAGAAAATTTTAAACATTTATAAAAGTGGAGGAAATAGTATAATAAATTGGCCAATCTTTTTTTTTTTTTTTTTGACAGGCAGAGTGGACAGTGAGAGAGAGAGAGACAGATCTTCCTTTTGCCGTTGGTTCACCCTCCAATGGCCGGCGCACCGCACTGATCCGAAGGCAGGAGCGAGGTGCTTCTCCTGGTCTCCCATGGGGTGCAGGGCCCAAGGACTTGGGCCATCCTCCACTGCACTCCCGGGCCGCAGCAGAGAGCTGGCCTGGAAGAGGGGCAACCGGGACAGAATCCGGTGCCCCAACCGGGACTAGAACCCCGGGGTGCCAGCGCTGCAAGGCGGAGGATTAGCCTATTGAGCCACGGCGCTGGCCTAATTGGCCAATCTTGAGAGATTTTGTCAAAGCTAAGGAAATACAACTATTGGCAGACTGGTATTACTTTTGTGGGAAAAGGTTTCTTCTCATTTTTACCTTTTTAAAAAAGATTTATTTATGTGAAAACAAAGGGACAGAGAGAAACAGAGACCTTCCATCTGCTGGTTCACTCCCCAAATGCCTGCAACAGCTAGGGCTGAGCCACACTGAAGCCAGCAGCCAGAAACCCCATCCAAGTCTCCCATATGGGTGACAGGGGTCCAACTACTTGAGCCACCTTCTGCTGCTTTTCCGGGTGCATCAATAGGGAGCTAGATCAGAAGCAGAGCAGCCAGGATTCAGACATCACAGGCGGCTGCTTCTCATTTTTCAATGAGTGATTAAACTATTCCAAGGTGATCATGCATGAGGGGACTTCAAAAAGCTCATGGAAAATGGAATTAAATACATAGATAATTGTGCTGGTTGCTTAGCAAATGCTATCTAAACCCTTGCTGCCCCAAGTATGGGCCTTTGGCCCAGAAAGCAGCCTGGGAATCCCCTGCAAGCTTACCAACAAAGGACAGCAATGAGACTCCACCCCCGCCCGACTGAATCAGGGTAGGCTGGTAACAAGATCCCCAGGTGATCTGTGCGTGCATGCAAGGTTAAAGAAGCACTGACCGCTTGGCACAGGGTAGACACACAATAACCTCCTATCCATCTTGCAACAATACTGCAAGGTAGATATTATCATGCCCAGTTTACAGATGAGATAACTGCAGCCGAGAGAGATTATTTGACTTTTCAAAGATCCCACAGCTAATGAACATAGGTCTAGCTGGCTTCAGAGTCTATGACTTATAGCATGCTTCTTCCCATACAGAGGGTTCAATTTGGGGGCAACTCGGTGAAAGAAGAAAGTGAGACAGTATGTGTAGACACAACACAAAACCAACCAGTCTTCTGAGCAACAACCACCGCCGAAGGCAGAAAACCAAAGGGTTTGCTATCAGGCTCACAATTGCTGGCTCCAGCGAAAGGCCTTTTCACTTTCAACCAGCTATTACAGCATTGTGCACCCAGCTCAGTACTTACAGTGGTCAGAAAACAAGAACTGGAGCAACCATCAAAGTTACTCCCTCTTGACAGTGACTGTTGACCCAAATATGAAGCAAGTTGCAGGCCACAAGCTCTCCCGGAGCACAGAGAAGATTTGCTATAGACTCAAATAATCAGTAAAAATCTGTTTGTCGTCATCACACAGGCAGGAAGGGACAGTGGTTAACTGACACCTATTAACCACCTATTTCACTGTGTGACCCGTTGGGTGGCCTTAGCCTGTGGCTCTGCTGGAGTACTGAGTTGCCTACACCAAAAGGTAGCTTTATATGCTTAAGCATTGCTGGGCAATACAATAGGCCCTTTTGTTTGTGGCTAACTCTTTGAAAGGGATATTACTGGAAGAGGGAGCAAAAGCATATGCCTAGAGCATACCCCCAGGTTAGCTGGAACTCATCGGATCTGGGGAACTTCTCTCCTCTAATCCTGTGAGGACATCAGGCCACTTCCTTCTCTTTTGCTGCCCTAATGACTCCTGGGACTTGCATTAATGGATCAGCATGGCTACTTGGTTTTGCAACCAAGTAGCTGATGTGATGATTAATTAGTCTCTAGCAGGAACCTGATGAAGTTCTCAGCTCAAAACCCCAGGGATCCAGTACAGGGCAATCTGCCCTCACATAAAAAGACCAGGTGCGGAGGGTAGGCACACTGGCCTGGTGCTAGGCCTCCACAGGGTTATGATTGACTTTCTACTACAGAACCAAATGAGCTGGACACAACTTGCTATTGTGAGACAGTATACCTGCTGAAAAACTGGTAAGCCTACTGGCTTAACAAAACTACTTGTCTTAGCCGGCGCCGCGGCTCACTAGGCTAATCCTCCACCTTGTGGCGCCGGCACACTGGGTTCTAGTCCCTGTCGGGGCGCCGGATTCTGTCCCGGTTGCCCCTCTTCCAGGCCAGCTCTCTGCTGTGGCCAGGGAGTGCAGTGGAGGATGGCCCAAGTCCTTGGGCCCTGCACCACATGGGAGACCAGGATAAGTACCTGGCTCCTGGCTTAGGATCAGCTCAGTGCGCCGGACACAGCGCGCCAGCTGGGGCGGCCATTGGAGGGTGAACCAACGGCAAAGGAAGACCTTTCTCTCTGTCTCTTTCTCTCACTGTCCACTCTGCCTGGCAAAAAAAAAAAAAAAAAAAAAAAAAAAAAAAAAAAAAAAAAAAAACTACTTGTCTTTATGCATGAAATCGAATTCTAAGTGCATGTCCTCTGCCATGTAAATAACTATTTGGATCACCTTGTCTCTCTCAAGTTCAGGTGGATGAAATGATATCGTATGGTCAAGTTTGTCCATGTACTAAATATATATATATATATGCATATACATATAGAGAGACAAACGTGTGTGTGTATATATATAAAATGAACAATGCTGAGAATTGAAGCAAAATAAACAAAAGTGAAAAAAATCAATAAAAACACCTAAGGTAAAATAGATAAGACTTTAAGAGTTATTTTAAAAGCGTTTTTCTTTTTTTTTTTTTAACATTTATTTATTTGAAAGGCAAAGTGATGGAGAGCGAGCGAGAGTGAGAGAGAAATATCTTCCATCTGCTAGTTCACTCCCCAAATGCCTGCAATTGCTGGAGCTGTGCCAATCCAAAGCCACGAGCCAGGAGCTTCTTCCAGGTCTCCCACGTGGGTGCAGGGGCCCAAGGACTTGGCCATCTTCTGCTACTTTCCCAGGCCATAGCAGAGAGCTGGATTGGAAGTGGAACTAGAACTGGTGCTCTGATACAAGATGCTGGTGTCTCAAGCAGTGGCTTAACCGGCTGCACCACAATGCTGGCCCCTTAAGTGTGTTTTTCTAAACATGAAAGCACACGTTGAGAACAGTGCATTTTGAATATTGTATTTTAATTATGCATGAATAACTGTGTGTTCCTTCCAAAACCTCCACAAGGACTTCCCTAAGGTCTCTTTTTATTTCAACTCCCATTTCTGTAAGGTTAGTAACAAGGGTAGTTGTTAGCCCACTTTTTCAGATGAGAAAACTGAGGCTCTGAGAGTTGAACTTCCTTGTCTTCCACAAGAAGGCCTCCCAGTAAGTGCCAGGCAGAGCCAAGACCTGCTCCCAGGCCACCTGCTAGCTCTGTGTTCTTTCCACTTCCCAGAGGCTGGAAAAAAAAAAAAAACCACAAGAATAGCCACAAAGATTATATATATAAAAAAAAAAGAAAGCTGAGAACATGTCAGGATTATTTAATTAGTTGTAAATATCTTTTCACTTTGGAAATTACAAATAATAGCAATGGGTTCTCTGGTGAGGGGTCAGGGTAGGGGTGGAGGGGACCTTGTGATGTAAGTGGCTGCACTCATCATCTTATCACGCATACTCAGAGTCTGGTTGTGGGCTGTGATGTGGACCCAGAGCTGCGTTCTCTCCTTCTGTCCTTCGCTGCTCCTATTCACCTCACCTAAGGGGAAGTGAAGAGTGTTCTCGAAGGCAAAAGTCTCAGAAAGTAAGGAACTGGGGGGTCTGTTTCCTGGACCACAGTGTCTCCTGGCTCAAAGGCAGGTGCTCACCCCCACCTCTACCTCTGGGGCTGGCTGTGAAGGGAGCCATTAGTCTAAAGTCATTTCTTTTAAAGGGAACCACATCCTAATGGGTCTGACCTTGGCTTTTCATATGTGCTGCTGTTCAGTTGAAGAGAGCACAGTGTTCTTTGTGAAGTGAAGAACAAGTCAAATTTGTGCTAAATGGGAAGATGTCAAAATAGTCCAGGGCAGAGGAGGTGAGGGATCCAAAGTGATTGGAGCCATAAAATTCCTGCGGCTTCACTTCTGCTAACTCCTTCTCATCTTAGCATGACTTTGGCTGATTATTCTGTGGTGTTCTTATCACAGACTACACAGTGGCTTGCATTGCTCTTGTACCCATAAAAGAGTCCCAGGGACTTCGACTCTAGCTTGTATGATCTTGCGGAATGATCATTGTAGAGATCATGTACATAACACATCAGCTGAGGGACCCAGTTCCACACATGAACCACTTTCCTTTGAAAGGTCCAAATTGCTGGAGGCCAGAGTTTTAATCTGTAGTTAATGGATTTCTGGAATTTTCTATGGGCCTTCCAGGATCCCCATACCTCATCCCTCTCACTAGGTAAAAGGAACAGAAAAAGGAGCTGCTGGTTTGGGACAGCACAGTGTGTGACAGCTAAATCAGCACAAGAGGGCATTATTGTAATAGTTAATCTAAAGCCAAGAGTTTCACGGTGTGAAGGCATTTATGGAAGGAAACCGTGCCCTAGCTCTAAAGGTTTATATCAAAGTTTTCAACACTCCTAAAAACTCAATAAAGTTCTGGTTTTTGTTTGCCAGGGACTGGACAGACATTTGACAGGTACATTGTAGAGGGAATCTGAGTCTGGGCTTGGAGAAGCCATTTTTTGAGCCTGAAGTTTTATGAAAACTAAAAGTGCCAGAAACTGACATTTTTAAAGTGCAAAATTTTAGAGATGGAGAAAAATATTAATGAATTAGAAATTACCAGAGCTTAGAGATGGTGGGGGTGTGACAAAAAAAGGGTCCACAAGGGAGCTCTTTGTGGAGATGGAATTGTTTTGTATCTTGATTGCAGTGATGGTTCCATGAATCTAACCATGTTGTAAAATGGCTAGAACTGCACACACACATTGTACCTCTGTCAAATTTTCTGGCCTTTATATTATACTATAATCACTTGATGTGCGATTATTTGGGAATACTGGGTGAAAGGCAACTTCTTGTGGATCTATAATTATTTCAAAATTTTAAGAAACTTCCAGCACAATCCTGTATTTTTTTAATTTGATTTTTGAATTATTTTTTTAAATTAATGTTTAGTTTTTTAGTTTTTAACAGATGTGAAAGCAGGGGAGAGAGAGAGTGAGAAAAAGAGGGGGGGGGGAGAACTCCAATCTGGTGGTGTACTTCATAAATGCCTGTGAGAGTGACAACTGGGCCAGGTTGAATCTGGGAGCAAGGAGCCCAATTCAGGCTTCCCACATGGGTGGCAGGGGCCCAATCACCTGAGCCATCACCTGCTACCTCCCAGGGTGTGCATTAGCAGGAAGCTGGTGCCAGGAGCTAGAGTTGGGACTCAAACCCAGGTACTCCAATGTGGGATGTGGGCATCCTGCAAAACCTTTCATTTATCCCATTTTTCTTGGGAGAGAACCCCATCCCCCAGCCTATTCATTGTAACTCCTTAACTTTTCCTCCCATCTTAGTTTCTTGGCTAGGGAAAAACATCAGAGAATGCATGTGCCCTTCTTTTATTCTAATTGACAGAAATGATGTTTCAGCTGGAGTTGTCCATTGGTTGTGCCTTGAACAAATGGGAAGATTGTGCAGCCAACTGAATCATCTCTTCTCCCTGACATGGAAAAAAAGCAGAAACCTGTTAAATTCTTCTCATCGCTTCTATGTGAATAGAAGCATAAGGGTAGGAAAGAGAGAGAGGTCAGGCCAGGGTGTGTGTCTGGAGTCTTGGAGTTCTGGGATGAGAGGCACCAGGCACCACACACAGCCAAGAGGCCCGTCTCCGCTCAGAGGAGAAATTGCCCCAGGCGATCAGGCACTTGGAAGAACAAGAGTTCAACTAGCCTCAGAGAAGGGCAGCTTGAGCTGAATGTAGAAATCCAAACCAGTTTCCCTCTACTTCCCTGAGCAAACCTGGAGATGCACAAAGCCTGAGCTCTTGGGTGGGAACAGGCAGTTGTAACCAACAGGTTATAGGAGGATTTGGGATGGGAGCACTTGCCACAGGCTGTCAGATTCCTGGCACACCCTGTCTCCTAGAGGTTCCATCTTGTCTTTCACATACTCCGTGCATCTCCCTGAAACTTCAGTACATCTGGCCCATGCTTCCTACCACAACCATAAGCTGGTTTACGTTATTCTCCTAGTTTGAGTCAGAGAGGTCTGGGTTCAAATCCCAGTTGCACCACCTAAAAGCTATGTGACCTTGGGCAAGTTGTCTAAGTCTCTCTACCACTCAGTTTGCTCATCTGTTAAACGGGGGTAATAACTTGCCTTTCAGGGTTTGTGAAGCATCTGTCACCTACCAGGTATTTAGCAATTGCCATATTCATTGCTTCCCACGTGGCTGCCATAGCACTCTTTCTCCCACAGTATCTAGTCCAGGGTCGCAGGGCACACAAGAGCTTATTAATGAGTCCTTATTGGCTGGCTAAATGGAGGCTCCTGGATGTCTCCCCCATGCCAATGGAGACTCAAAGTGGGAATAAAGGGAAGCCAACCACCCATTTCCAAGATACTAAGCTAACATGCTGAATTCTTTACTTCCTTGATACATTGTTATAGCAAAACCCTTGATGTGATAAAGCCTGCCTTCCATGCACACATATTTTTAGACAAACGGTAGGATCAGCTAAAATTGGAAGCCAGTAGTTTAAGTATGTTGACAAATGACTTCTTCATCAGTTTATCAGGTGTGGAGCCGGAGTAAGAATGCTTGTTGCCACAGAATTTGGAAGGTTATCAAATACAGCAGGAGAATCTGAAGTTGACCCACTTCTATCTATACCCCCAATCTCTGTCTTGTGACCACACTACAGGCTGCAGTCTGTAAGTTATTCATGGAGTACAATGAAAAGAGTAATCGATCAGCAAATGAAGACCAGAGATGTAGTCTCAGATTTCATAATCCATTCACTGATTCAGCCAACAAATATTCACTGCCTGCCTACCATGGGAGTGGGCTCTGTGCTTCACAGACGTGATCCTGCCTTACATGGAATTTACTGGGCTGTGTGACCTGCAGGGAGTTACTTCATCTCTCTGGGTCTCGTGCTCCCAATCTGTTAAATGGTGACAAATGTATTTATATCACAAAGCAATTGTGAGAATGATACGAGGGAATGTAAGGGCAAGAGCTATGCAGATTGTAATTGCTCTCTATTATTGTCCGCTATGTAATGGTTACATGAATAGCTTGTGATCACTTGCAAATTGTGTTGTAAGTCTATTTCGAGGGTCAGAGCATGTTCTGCTCATCTCATTTTTCTTCTTTACATGTTGGCAAGCCAGTAAAACCAGAGCAAGTAGGAGAGACAGAGAGTTCTGCTTATACTGGGCTAAGCAGTAGAGAGAATAGCACTCCACTTCGTGTTCTCAGATGGGTTACACTTCAGACAGGGTCCATGGACAGACTGAGTTATGTCCCCCCAAAAGATATCCTCAGTACCTGTGAATGTGACCTTATTTGGAAGTAGGGCCTTTGCCAATGTAATAACATTAAGATGAAGTCACATTATCACGAGGGCCCTAATCCGATGTGACTGATGTTTTTGTAACAAGAGGTAAACGGACAAAGATACAGAGAGGGAACACCATGTGAAGCTACAAAGAGAGAAGAACACCATATGAAGACAGAGGCAGAGACTACAGTTGTGCAGCCACGAGTCAAGGAAGCTACCAGAAGCTGGAAGAGAATCATTCCTGTTGCTTTAAGCCACTCCGTTTGTGATACTACATCACAGATGCCCCAGGAAAGTAACGGATTCCCCAAACAGATAGCCCTCCCACACACTTCCTTCTGCCCTCCATGGAGTCACGGCCCGCTTTCCTTCTCTGTATATCAATCCACAGAAAATAGTGCCCTGATGCAAGTGGTTCAAAATATGGATCTGCAGAACGGCAGAAGAGCTTGTGTGGAATACTGAATTCCACTTCATATTTTTCAGAGAGGTCGAAATGCAGGCAAGAATTCCCCCCTTGACCCTTTCTGCTCTCACATTTGAGGCCAAGTAGCGAGGGTAGGCAGGCAGTGAATCCAAAGGCATGGGGCCTACTGAGCAGACAGCTGCTATTACCAGCCTTCGCATGGACACTATCTTGGGGAAGTCTAGGAGTCCATTCTGGGGCCCCATTAAGACCAAAGGCTTATAGGAGGTCTTCATCTAAGGCTCCCAAGTGCTATGAAGGATCATGTGGTTTGGAGCCAGCTGCCAGCTTGTGTTTGCCTAGACTCCATCCTTGGAACCAACCAGAGGCTGCTAGCAAGAGAGGCATCCCTTCTTTAGGACACATAGGTGCATATGTATTATTACATACCTACTATTATGAAAAGGTGCATATGTATAGAAAATTACTATTTGACAGCTGCCAAAGGGTCATCAATGGATTCTAAAACTGGTGAGAGAAATCTTCCTGGAAAACATGATACTTGTGTACTTTCAAGGTATCATCCCATACTTTAGTTACTAAGTAAAAAAAGAAAATAGTCTCCTTACAGCGGAAAAATCTGGAAAACATCATCTTGACCAAGAAATCAAAATTAATATTACAAAGAATAGTCATGTGCCTTTTCATGTTTCACTCCTGCCAAAAATGTGTAACCTGACTCTCATCATGAGAACACATCAGACAAACCCATACTGGACAACATTCTACAATGACCCGCACACTTCCAAAACGTCAATGCCATAAAAGAAAAAGAAAGGTTGAGGACGGTTCCAGATTTGAAAACTAAGAGATACGACTGCTAAATACAACATGTGATCCTACATGGGATTATGGTTGAGGGAAAACAATAGCTATATAGGGCAATTTTGGGGTGATTAGAATTTGAATATGAGCTGTAGATTACATGAGGGTACCTCAAAAAGTTCATGGAAGATGAAATTAAAAGCTAAGTTGATTTTGGTATTAATATATTTGCATAGTTTTAGTATGAATATATTGCATAGGTTTTTTCATAATACACATTTTCCATGAATGTTTTGAAGATCCACATGTAACAATATACTGAGTCAGTGTTATACTTCCTGAATTTGAGAACTCCACTGTGTTTATGTAACATAATGTCCTTGTTCTTAGGAAACACGCTGAAGGATTAAGGAGCAAAGGGACATGATGTCTGTAGCTTACTCTCAAGTGTTTCAGGAAAAAAAATCTTGTGTGTGTGTGTGTGTGTGTGTATCTGAGTGTGTATGTGGAGAGATAGAACAAATGTAATAGGATGTTTACAACAGATGAATCTGGAAAAAGTAATGTGAACGTTCTATTCTAGGCGGTTTTCTGTAAGTTTTAAGTATTTAAAATTAACGATTTAAAATATGTATGCTATTTTGAGCATTTAACCATGTACCCAATGCCGAGGTGTGTGAAATTCAAGGGAGAACAAGACCTGGTGTCTATCTTTAGCCTGCAGTTTTTGGCAGGAGGGACAATAAGAGGCAAGCTCCATTCCATGTTATAAAGGATGCCAGGAGAGCACAGAGGAGGTATAATCAACACAGACTTCCTGGGAAAGGGGGCAGAGGAGCTCTGTAGGGAAGGGGTAAAGGAGACATGTAAAGTTGGGAGAATGAAGTTTGGGGTCCCATTGAGACATGCAAGCAGAGGTGACTGACGGACTGTGGGATGTGGGGAAGGAATCTGCGCCTGTGGGCAGCCAGAGGAAGCCACGTGCCTCCTGAGGACAGATGCCAAGGCATAGATTAGCAGGTGTCAGGGGTCAGGCTGAGGGGGCCATAGGCCCTGAGGTAACATAAGCAGCGCAGGGAGAAGCCAAACAATTTGAGGCTGAAAGGTTGGACGCAAGTGTGCCTATTGATGACCTTCCCACTGATGTAGATCGAATGTCCAAGAGATCTCAGCCCCAGATTGATGAATATAAGTAACTTGCATAAGGGCGTGGCCCCAAATTAGTTAGAGTTGCTAATAATACACTGTAAGGCAGGAAGAGAAAGTCAAGTGAGTGTAAGAAACTAAAGAAGTGATTTTTTGAGAACAGGATGAACTTTCCCTGTAATAAGGATAAGGCAGTAGCCAATTAACACACAACAGGATGGGGAAAGATTGTTGTTAATAGGAAAAATCCGGAGAACAGTACCGGGTCCCATAATAAAGGGAAGTCAGTGAGGCAGTACTGCTGTTTCTGAAGCCATTGGGAGAATGGGAATTTCCACTCAATTATGAGATACAAGAGCCAGGATGAGAAAGTACATGAATGTTCTTAGCAAGGGCCTAGTGAGAGGTTTTTTTTTTTTTTTTCTATTTCAACTTCTGTATTCTGAAAAATTTACCAAAATACTGAGAACAGCATTTGCTTAATTCACTGCCAAACTTTAACTGTTTTTGAGTTATAAAGATGCCACTTTTATGTTTCAAATAAAAATGAACCCCCATATACCCATCACCCATCTGCTACAGCTATCAGCTTGATTACTTGATCAATTTCATTTCCTCCAAGTTCCCACCTATTACACCTAGCAAACTGACTGGTCTCAAGCAAATCTCTGATGGAAGCTGTCCTTGTGCTTTTAATGATTTAATAAAAAGAGATTGGAGTTATTGATTATGCATGTTCAAATTCATAGATTCAAGTTATGTAGAAAATCATATTGT